GTCCATAGCCCAGCCCCATGGGGCTTCTAGAAGCACTGCAACAGCACGGTGTTTGTTTATTCATTGCTAACTAGCATTTGTGGTACCAAGAATGGGGTTTATTAGGGAAGTAAGTGGGAGAATGAAAGAGACAAAGAATATCACTCAATGCAAATCCAAGTTTCAACCAAGCAGCCCCAAAGCAAAATTCCTCAATAAATCCAGGCTCTGGTTTCAGTTCATCTGTCAAATCCAAATCACCTTGCAACAAGGTTTGCCTTCCAATTTTAAGTGAGTGTCACCTTCAAGCATCCAGCAAGAACAACTAAAACCTTTAACTGTGGCCTACACAAGTGCAAGAAGCTTCAGGTCACAGCTTGCCACAGTTTCTCCACAACAATGTCACAGTTCCTCCACCACCATCACTAGGGTCTTGCTGTCCCCTGGGTCTTGTCTCCACAAATTTCATTTATCTCAAGTCTTTCCCACCTCAAGTCTTGCTGCCCAATGTGGGAAGCACTATTTCTCTTATCCTAGTCCTAGAGCCATGCTGATTTGTAAGAACAAATATCTGCAGTCAAGGTAGCTGGAGATCAGCGGCAACTAGCTATAATGGCTAAAAATGAAGCCAACTTTTAGGTAGGCTAACACCATAAGAACATTAATTGCTTACACCCTTAGACATTCCAAACATATGACTAAGTGTGGGCTATTCACCTCTTAGTTGTTTTAACACCCCAGAAGACTATTTAAACTTGCTTATGTTTAACTATATTAGATGGATTATCTCTGTATTCTGTGTTGTTGCTATGTGCCATTGAGTTGCCTGTGTCTCATAGTGATCCTATGTACAACAGGCCTAAACCTTAAGCTATCCTGTACAAATCTCACTGTCTCCGACACACCTACCCCTATTCTCCCAGTCACTGAGTCAATCCATCTCATCAAGAGTCTTCCTCTCCTTCCAAGCATGATTTCTCTCCCTCCTTGCAACATGTCCAAAGTATGTCAAACAAAATTTCAGAATCCTTGCTTCCAAGGAGCAGCCTGGTCTCAACCTCTCTAGGACAACCTGTTTGTTCTCTTAGCAGTCCATGGGTTATCCAATATTCTCCAGCACCACAGCTGAAAAGCATCACTTCTCCTTCTATCATACCTAGTCATTGTCCAGTTTTCTGATGCGTAGCAAGTGATTGCAAAGACACACTTTAGTCTCTAGACTTACATCGTTACTCTTCAGTACTTTGGAGAGATCTCTGACAGCAGACTTTCCCAGTGTAATACATCTTTTAATTTCCTGGCTGCTGGTGCCAAGAGTATTGATTGTGGAGCTGAGCAAACTAGAGCTGTTAACAATCTCAATCTTTTTACCATCTATCATGATGCTGCCATCGGCCCAGTGGTGAGAATCTTTGTTTTATTGATGTTGAGCTTCAATCTGTATTGAAGACTGTAGTCCTTGATCTTCTGCAGCAAGTGCTTCAGGTCCTCCTCAGTTTCAGCAAGCAAGGTTATGTCATCTGCATAATGCAGATTGTTGATCAGTTTTCCTCCAATACTGATACCATGTTTCTCATCATAGAGCCCAGCCTCCCAGATAACCTGTTCCCATTCCAAAGAAAGGTGATCTGATAGAATATGGAAATTATTGAGCAATATCGTTAATATCACATGCAAGCAAGATTCTGCTGAAGATTATCCAAAAAAAAATGACTGGAACAACACTTCAGCAGAGAACTGCCTGAAGTGCAGGCTGGATTTAGAAAAGGCCATGGTACTAGGGATATTATAGATAGTGTTAGATAGATCTTGGCTGAAAGCAGGGAGTCTCAGAGGGATATCTATCTGTGTTTCACTGACTATACAAAGGCATTTGATTGTGTGGACCACAACAAACAACTCTGAGAAAAATGGGAATCCCAGAACACTTGATTGTGCTAATGTGAAACCTATACTTGGGCCAGGAGGCAGTCATCAGAGCAGAGCAGAGAAACACTGCATGGTTCAAAATTTGGGAAGGGTGTTCACCAGGAATGAGTCCTATCTCCGTATCTTTTCAATCAGTCTTTCTATAGTTGTTTTTTATTTTGGGTTTGGGGGATTTTTTTATTACAGTGGTATTATATACTGCTTGTCCTCTTGTGACTGATTTATTTCACTTAGCATAATGTCTCTGGACTCATCCATGTTGTATAGTGTATCCAAAATTCTTCATTGTTTTTAATGCTGTATAGTATTCCCTTGTGTGGATGTACTATAATTTCCCTATCCATTCATTTGTTGGTGGACACTTGGATTGTTTCCATCTCTTTGCTATTATTAACAATGCTTCAGTAAACATGGATTTAGGGCATTTCTCTAGTAGAGCTGATCCATTGGTACTTTATTTTCAGCATTTTAAGAAACTGCCAAGCTGCCAACCCTAGTGGTTGCACTGTTTGCATTCTCATCAACAGTGCATGAGATTTCTAATCTCATCACACCCTCACTAGCATATCTTGTTAGGAACATAATAATAGTCTGCTTTCCTAAATATTATAGCTTTGGAAAGCCTAGAAGGCAATTCTACTCTGTTGTATAAGATATCTGGAATCATAATAGATTTGAAGGCAATGGGCTTTTGGGGACAATACTTTGCATATCTGAAAAAGATATTGATAATCTACAAACCAATAAATAAGCAAACAAAACCCAAACAAACAAAAAAAAGTTATTTGTGTTTAATTAACTGAACATAGTGGTGGTGTAAGTATTAAAAACCAATTACCAAGGAAGACTTTTGTTTTATTTTTTCCTTAACCCTTTAAATTCTGCTTACTTATTGTACATCTTTGCAGGAGGAGATTGCCCATCTTTCACCTTTGGTGGTGGTGGTGGTGGTACTATCATATTGTAACTGACCCATACCAGATCCTCCTGTGTGTTTTCAGAGGCAGTTAATCGCATGGGAGGAGACTGCTCATTCTTTCTCTTGTGGAGTGGCTGGTGAATTCAAACTGTGTCCCTTTTGGATTTCAGTACAGCTTCTTGCCATTAGGCCACCAGAACTCCCTGTGGAGAAGCTGGTAAATTTGAATTGACAACCTTTTTGTTAGCAACTTAATTACTCCAGGAAATGTTGCCACAAACTTTTCAATTTGTGACATACCCAAAATATGCAAAGCACAATAAAATGAGATATGCCTGTATGTTTCTAAATATATTATTTTCTGAGTCTTACATAGAAACTTATGTTTAAAAAGTAATAACTACTGCAAACTCTAACCTGTAGACCAACATACTCATGCCTATACTTACCACCTATACTTAAATCATCAACATCAGCAGTCAAAACTAGGTCAGGTGTGGGGTTTAGAAGAGGTGGTGGAGATAGCATTAGAAGAGATATCATTGCTGATGTCAGTTTGAAGATTCAAGCCATGGTCTTTTCATCTTTTACTATATATCTGAAAACTGGACAGTGAACAATGATGACAGAAGAATTGATACCCATGAGTTGTGGTGTTGAAGAAGAATACTGAATATCTCATGGATTGACAAAAGAACAAACAGATTTATCTTTTTGTGCAGTCAGAGTGTTCCTTGGAGGTGAAGATGAAAAGTTTCATCTCTCGGTCTTTGGACATGTTGCAAAGAGAGGCTATTCTTTGGAAAAGGACATCATGCTTGGCAAGATGGAGAGTCAGTAAATGAAAGGAAGACCCTCAATGAAAAAGATTTACACAATAACAATAGCAATGGGCTCAAGTGTGTCAGAATGGAAGATGGCACAGGATAGGAAAGGGTTCAGATCTGTTCTTCATAGAGTCACTATGAGTTATACTTGACTCAATGACACCTAAGAACAATAGCAAAGATACTTAAATTACTAATAACCTTGAATTTAGTGATGAAATCTTTTGGCTTTTCTTTCTTTGCTCTCTATATAATCTCAATCTTAAGAAGGTTGCTAGGAAAATAACTTTGTTTAAATGACCACATAAGTTTTCATGTTAAGCTTAATAAAAGTTAATGTGGACTTGCCATTGCTGTTTTTATGTTCCAGTGATTCAGAATTGGCTCAAAGCTGACCCTGCAGTGGGTTTTCAGAGGCAGTAAATCACATGAGAGGAGATTGTTCATCTTTCTGTCATAAAGAAACTGGTGAATTCTAACTGCATACCTTTGGGATGGGAGCACAACTCCTTGCTTCAAGGCCACCAGTGTCCTCTAAACTTAACATAGATAAGTTTAACTTTGACCTAACAAAGAGTTGTACTGCTAACCCAGAAGCAGACAGTTCAAATCCACTAGCTGCTCTGTGGGAGAAAAATGGGCAGTCTCCTTCCATGGAATTTACAGCCTCTGAAAATTAATGGGAGGGCCATCTGTAAGTTGGTTCTGACTCAACAGCAACGAGTGGTTGCTTGAGTTTATTTTAAAGAAGTGTGTCTATTTCCTCTGAGGAAAGCACCATATTTCTGTTTTCTGTTCATATTTGTATCCACAAGATGTTTTTATCCACTCATTGGGTGAAGGCATTTATTACTGTCGGTGTGTACTTTTTAAACAAATTTATTTTAATTATGATTTTAACAAAAGTTTACAGAAAAGTTGCATTTTTATTCATTCATTATTGCACATTTTCCTCCCTCCCTCATCTTGCCCTCCCCCCATAGTTAAGTTTAAAAATAAAAAAAATGTTGTGTCCTTTTGAGTAGGGATTGACTCATAGCTGACCCTCTAGCAGGTTTTCAGAGGCAGTAAATCAAGTGGGAGTTAATTGCCCATCTTGCTCTCTGGTGGAGTAGCTGGTGGATTCCAACCATGTGCCTTTGTGTAGACAATGCAATTCCTTACAACTAGACCACCAGTGCTCCCTAAAGGCATTTGGCTCACCACAAAGATTAAAATAGTTGAGGAATGTCCTTCTTAGACTGGAGCATAAGGGTTCTTCCAAGTCTTTCTCTAACTGTAGAGATTGCTTATGCATCCTCAAGATAGAAAGAGAATGATGCTGATGGTTCTGTGATGTGTTGCAGGAACTTGGAAGCGTGTATAGTATACTCGTTGCAATCTTAAATGTTGGAAACATAGAGTTTTCTTCTGTGGCAACTGAATACCAGATTGACAAAAGCCACATTTCTCATCATGCAGCTCTGGAAAACTGTGAGTTTTAGTGCCTACTGTTTAAAATGTACTCTTCAAAGCCTTCACATACTTTTGTCACAAATGGATAATTTCAAGCAGCTGTATTCATATGGAATAATATCAAACAAAATAAAATTTAAGTTGTGTAAAGTGACGTTTTAAAAGTCCACTTGTTGAAATAGCTCTTCATGCCTACAAATTAACTTATTACTCTAGCAAATGTTTCTCAAGTGTAGGTTTTTGTGGCTGTTTTAGGAGCTATTTACATTTAAATTTAAAAAAAGCAAAGGAAATGCAAATAAAGATTAATAATTTTATCTGAATTAAAAGTGACTTTCTTGAAAATTTAACATCTTTATCATTGTATAAGTAGTAAGGATTAGAAAAGAAATACTGCTTTTCATACTGAATAAATTATTTTGTTATACACATTCATCCTGGGCTGATTAATTTTGCAGCCTCTACAGAACATTAGAACATCATGTTGTGATGATGTTACTTGTTGCCAAGTTCATCCAACTTATCATGACCCACATGTTAGAGATCTTAACAGAAGCCTATCATCAGGCCTTTTCTCCCACCTTCATTGTGGTGTTTGCATCAAATCAAGTTTGATTCATACCAGTTTTTAAGGAATTATTTTACTAATTTAATATTTCTTACTGATATCTTCCAATGACTTGATTCTTATTTATAATATGCCCTGTAATGCCCATAATACTAGACTTGGTAAAATTTCACTCATAAACTTAGAGAATCATAGAAGTTTTTATTCATATGTTGTTTTTAAAGCTGACTTACTTAGAAAGACTTGGGGGGGGCAATTTTATAGGATCAGGTGTCCAATAATTCTGGTTTGGTCTTGTCCTCAAGATCACTGTCATCGCCTTCCTCACTCTATTTCTAGAGCTGACTTGGTAACTTGATACTACAGCAGAAAATATGCCTGAGGTTGACAGGAAGTGATTGCATTTGCCTGGGAACCTCAAAGAAACCTGTTGTATTTTTTTTTTATTTAAAAACATTTTTAATTGATACAATATTGTTGCTGTGTGTCTTTAAGTCTCAACCAACCCATGGCTGATCCTCCAGCAGATTTTCAGAGACAGTAAATTGCACGGGCGACTGCCCATCTTTCTCCTATGAAGCAGCTGGTGGATTTGAACCACTTTCCTTTGGAATTACTCTGTCCACTTACCACTAGGCCAGAGTTCCCTGGTTGATGAACCAGATATAAATTATTAAATGTGAAAGAAATATCCAGACCTAAGGTGGTGGTTGTTGTTGTTAAGTGCCATCGAATTGTAGGTGACTCATAGCGAACCTATGAACAAAAGTCCTGGACACCTGTACAACTTTTGTCCTTTCTCCAGGTTCATAGGGTTTGTGGAGGCAAGCTATTAGGGAAGTGGATGCCACTCCTTTGTCCAAGTTTGTATTAATCAGGGAGCTCCACCAAACACTGTCCACCATGGGTAACCATTCTTGCACTTGACTCACAGTGTCACAGTGTTCAGCTTCACAGCAAGCATGGGTTACCTCTGTACAGTAAGTGGATATACCAGGGGGGTTACACAACCTAGAAGAATGTTTCACCAAAGACAATTAAAGGCGGCCCCGGGGGCCCCAGAGTAGAATCATCGACCTTTGGCTTGGGAGCATGGCTTTCTGTCTGGTAGGCCAACTGCTCTCTCTCTGTGCTGTTGGCGGTGGTGGTGTTGTTAAGTGCCATCTTTTGGTAGTCCATGATATATTCAATACTCTTCACCAATACAGTTGTTAAGTGTTATTGCATTGGATCCAACTCATAGCTAACACCACCCTCACCCCCAGGTTTTCAGAGGCAGTAAATGAGAGGAGAAGATTGCCCATCCCTCCTCTGCAGAGCAGCTGATAGACTTGAAAGGTCTGCATTTGGTGTGGCAGCACAAATTCCTATGACTAGGCCACCAGGATGCACTCTCTAGATCAACCCTGATTGTTTCTCAATAATCATCTAGCTCTGGATTTCTTAATTGCTTGCAGGCTGAATGGAGAGCTCAGTGTTGTGGAAGTTGTCTCAAAGGTGGGGGGGGGTAATTTTTCACCACCTGATAGTAATTAGTTCTCAGCATCCAGTAAAATGAGTTGTTTTAGCCATAGTTATAGCTAACAGTGTGCTTAGAAACTAAGAGATCATTGTGATGGTTTAAAAAGTCTGTTTCTGTATAGTAAGTTGATGGTTCATATGGGTCACAAAATGTTAATATTAATAGGAATGTAAATTATAATTATTTCTAACAGTCTCTGGAATAGCTATCAGTGGAAACTAGAAATCCTATTCAAATGATGTAGATTTGAAATTACAAGGAATTGTTTCCAAAACTAGGCTGCATGGCCAAGTGGTTTTACAGATATAATATTTCAGTCAAGCACTATTTCTGCAAATTCTGTCCTAGCAATATTTTCTGAAGTCTGATCATTTGCCTTTCATCTTAATAACCACCATTCTCACACAATCATCCCCTCTCACCTAATACAGTCGCCTTCAATTGTTCATCCTATATCTATTATTTTTAAAACATTTTAAATAATGTATTTTATTGTTGTTGAGACATGGACACCAATTCAACAGCTTCTGCATCTTTAATTCAGTAACAGTGACTACTTTCTTTGCGTTGTACAACCATTTTCACCTTGCTTTTCCAAATTGTTTCTTCACGGCTAACATAAACTTCCTGATTCCCAAGATCACTCTTGATCTTTTCCAGGTGAACAAAGGTATATTTATACCTTAGGAATAATAGGAATAGGAACTAATCCCTTGGGAAGTGACATCACTGTCATAATGTCTTCTTCTAATGATGCTTGTGTTTCTTCTCCAGGTGCTTCTTTGCTTTGCATTCAAGCAGATGAACTACAAGAAGCTCTCACCTCCCACTGTGTGGTAACTAGAGGAGAAACAATCATTCGTCCCAATACTGTTGAAAAAGCCACTGAAGTCAGAGATGCAATGGCTAAAACTTTGTATGGACGTCTCTTTAGTTGGATAGTAAATCGCATCAACAGCTTGCTGAAGCATGACACATTGCCAAGGTAAAAATATTTACAGAAACCTCCCCACCCTAGTGTCACATAAAATACATCTAGAAAATAAGTTTCTTAATTTACTGATTTGTATACTAATCACTTTGAAGATGTTTCTAATTAACGTCATTTAATTATCAATGTTCTGTTTCAATGTTGTTATTGTTGTCGTTTTGTTGCTGCTGTGTACCATCAAGTACGAGTGGACCCTTAGCCGACCCTATGACAGGTTTTCAGAGGCAAGTAATCGCATGGGAGGAGATTGCCCATCCTTGTCCCGTGGAACAGCGGGTGGCCTCAAACTGCGTGTTTTCCAGATGTTTAACAGACATGCTTTTATTTCCATAATAGCACCACTTCACTTTGACATAAAATTGTAAAATTCTTGTGACATAAATAACTCCAGTAACTTTAGTAAGCATAGTAGCAGTGGCGGTGTTATGAGCTGTCAAGGTGACTGCAATTCAAAACAACTCCATGCCCAAAAGCTCTGAACTCTGTTCTATCCTGAGCTTGTCTCAGTGTCTCCAACACTCCTACCCCCGTTGACCCAGATACTGTGTTGATCCATCTCATCCACAGTCTTCCTGTCTTACGCTGTCCCTCCACCGTGCAGAGCATGATGTCCTTCTCCAACAACTGGTCCCTCCTAGCCGTATGCCCAAATTATTTAAGAGGGAGCTTCAAAATCCTAGCCTCCAAGCAACACTTGGTTTCACCCTTTTCAGGACAGACTTGTTTGTTCTCTTGGAGGTCCATGGAACTTTCAGTACTCTTCTCCAGCAGCACAACCCAAAGGCATCAATTCTTCTTGTGTCATCTTTAGTCATTGTCCAGATCTCTCATGCATAACAAGTAATTGACCTGAATCAGGCACACCTCAGTCTCTTGATTGACATCATTACTCTTCAGCACTCAGGAATATCCCTGATAGATTTTCGCAATGCAGTTTTTCTTTTGATTTCTTGACTGCTGGTGCCAAGACTGTTGCTGGTGGAACTGGGCAAGCTGAAATTGTTAACAACATCAATCTCTTCTCCATCTATTATGGTGCTGCCAATTGATGCATTGGTAAGAATCTTTGTTTTCTTGATTGAGCTTCATTTTATATTGAACACTGCAGTCCTTGACCTTCTGCAGCAAACATTTCAGATCTTCCTTAGTTCCAGCAAGCAAAGTTGTGTCATCTACATAAGGCAGGTTCTTGATGAGTATTCCCCCAGTTTCTCTTCATTAAGTCCACCTTCTGAATGATTTGTTCTGCTTACAGATTTAAAAGGTATGGAGAAAGGACACAGCCCTTATGCACCCCTTACTTGATTTTAAACCATGCAGTGTTTCCCTGCTCTGTTCTGAGGACTGCTTCCTGGTCCAAGTACAGGTTTTGCATAAGCAGAGTCAAGTGTTCTGAGATTCCCATTCTTCTCAATGTTAGCCACAAATTGTTGATGTCCACACAGTCAAATACCTATGCATAGTCAATGAAACACAAATAGACATTCCTCTGGTACTCCCTGCCTTCAGCCAAGATCTATCAGACATTGGCTGTAATATCCCTAGCTAAGGCCTCTTCTAAACCCAGTTTTTCTTTCTGGAAGTTCTCTGTTGATGTACTCGTCCAGTCATTTTTGGATAATTGTCAGTAGGCTTTTGATTGCGTGTGATATTAGTGATATTATTTAATAATTTCCATATTTGGTTGGATCACCCTTTTTTTGGGTGGAAATAAATATGGATATATTACAGTCCTTGGCTAGGCAGTTTTCTTCCATATTTCTTGGCAAACACAATAGAAAAATCATTTTAAAGTATAATATCTGACTCAATTTTTTAAATTATATTTTGATTGGAATATATATCATGAACTATATATCATTCTATCCTTGTGCAGGATCTCAGTTCAGCCGTTCTTCGTTTTGCATTAATTAAAGGAAAACTTTTCATACTTTAACTCTCATTGTAACTCTTTAAGGTGCTATAACATCTAATTTTCAGCAATATTTAGGGAAGAAATGTGGCAATAAATAGTAAAAACAAAGATTGGTTAGCACCAATGTTATTTGGGCATAATACCCACAGCTTTCTTAGAAATAAGGATAATGACAACTATTATTGATGGGCTCTCTGTACCCCAGGAATTATGCAAATTTAGAAGTTCTTGTATTTATAGGTAAACCTTTATTATTCCAGTAATCATACAATCTTTAGAAACTTTGCATTCTGTAAAACAAGATATATACCTGCTCATGTAACTACACTGTTGCTATTTAAAATGGGAACTTTCAGGAATATGGTGTCTTTCCCTTTGTGAAACCCATCCCATATTTCAAGTGTTTTGTAGTTATGTGTAATTCAGTCGCTTCCTCCAGTTTTAAGGAGCATGCTCCATCATCTCTAGAGTACCTTGCATACTAAAAGGAAGTATATTCATGTTGCTTTTTAAATTCACACAAAATAACTTTACAGTAGGTAAATTTATTGGCAGTGAGGCAGTGCAAATTTTCTGAGCACATATCAGACCTTTATGAAAACATGAATACAGGTATAACATTATGGAGTCACAAGGAAAAGATGCATTTTAAATCTAGAACCTACTAGTATTCTTCGGATTTATATTTTTTATTATTGAGAATATCTACAGCAGAACACACAAGTTTAATAATTTCTCCATGAACAAGTCAGTAACAATGATTGCAAGTTGTACTACCACTCTCACTCTTTTTCCAAAAAATTTTCTCTGATCAAGAGGGAGAAAATCCAGAACAATTTTTTTTGTTCTCACAGAATCCAGACTTTCTGTAGCCATTAACATTGAATGCCAAAATTGTTGCCTTAAAATAATCATTAACCATTAAACAAACAAAAAAAATCCCCTGAAAGCTTCTTTTAAAAAACAATAATTTAGCATCTCCTCCTGTACCAGTTAGATCTGATGTGACGGTACACTCACAAAAATAATAAAATAAAAGAAAAGAATTTTAAAAGATTTTTTAAAAACCAATAATTTAGCTTAACTGATTAAGAATGTCTCCCTTGAGTAGTGTGTTCTTTTAAGAATTATCTATATGGGATAAAATTGACAACAGCAACTTGAACAATTAGGTAATTTTATTTTTTTTTAGGTATTTAGTGATAAATCAATCTACAAAGATGTTTTATCTTTCTTACTTGATATCATTTGCACTATATTTAGATGCAAATATAAGTAAATAATTTAAAAAGAAAAAATTCTTTAAAATAATAAAAATCCTGTAAAGGAGATATTTTAATTACTGTTCTAAATTGAATGAAGTACTGTGTTGTATACTCTGACAGAAGTCATTTTCTGTAGTACATGTTTTGTTAGCATGGTTTTGTTGTGTTCTGAGTGTTTGTCTTTTTTTCCCTTATGATTCCTATATCTCTCAAGGTTATGATGTTATACATAATGAAAATTTTTTAAAAGTTACTTTTGTTTAAATGCAAATACTATAAAAGAGTGGTTTCTGTAGTATAAGGAAAATATTTGGCATTTTACCCTTTAAGGTCACTTCTACTCCCATCATCATTATATTTTATTGTTGTTGTTAGGTGCTGTCGAGTTGTAGACGACTCATAGCGACCCTATGAATGAACCACCTAAGCACTGTTCATAGAGTTTCTGGAGGCAAGCCATTTCAGAAATGGATGCCACTCTTGCTTCTAAGCTTGTTTTAATCAGGCAGCTCCACCAGACACTGTCCACCATGGGTAACCAGTATCACATTTGGTACATCAGTGTCACAATGTTTAGCATCACAGCAACCACGAGTTACCTCTGTACTGCAATGCACAGACCAGTGCTATACCACCTAGAAGAATGTTTGACAGAAAAACAATTTGAACACAACCTGAGGGCCATAGATTAAAATCACCCACCTTGGACTTGGTAGCATAACTTTCTGTCCACTAGGCAATGTAGTTCTCTCTATGTTTTCCTTGTTATTGTTGTTAGGTGCTGTTGAGTTGTAGATGACTCATAGCGACCCTATGAACAAAAGACTTCTATGTGCCTTGAACTTTATGTTCTATGAACGAAAGACCATTATGCTCTAGAGAAAGAACTTTTTTTCATTAATATTAACTTTAGGCATGCATCTTGGTAGCACTTTTTTTTGCCATATCACAGAAGAGTACTTCAAAATATATTCCTTCCATTTTCAGTTCATCTGTTTAGCTAAGGTAACAAATGAGAATTCAAAAGTCTCTTTAATTCTTTCAGTGGGAATGGAGAGGAGTTGACCATTGGCATTCTTGATATATTTGGATTTGAAAATTTCAAGAAAAATTCCTTTGAGCAGCTGTGCATTAATATTGCAAATGAACAAATTCAATATTACTTCAATCAGCATGTGTTTGCATGGGAACAGGTAAGTGAAATACTATGAAGATGCATGTCTCTATCATAGACTTGGAGCCCTAAACATTTGATAAAACCATGATAAAATCGGGGAAAAAAAGACTAAAAGAGAAATGCGCATGAAATTGGTATAACTTGGTGTTGCTGAGTGAACTATTACTCAGAGACCCTATAAACATTAGATCGGAATCCGTGCCATCCTCATGTTCATCCTCTTGCAATCACTGTGTCAATCCATTTCATCGAGGGTCAGCCTTTCTTTCATGGACCCTCCACCTTTCCCAACATGATGTCTTTTTCCCAAGGACTAGTTTTTCCTGACAACATGTTGTTGTTGTTATGTGCTGTCGAGTCGCTTGCGACTCATAGTGACCATATGTACAACAGCCCTAAACTCTGCTCTGTCCTGTGCCAATCACACTGTCTCTGACAACCCATCCGGATTACCCCAGTCACTGAATCAATCTACCTCATAGAGGGCCTTCCTTTCCTGTGCTGTCGCTCCACCCTCCCAAGTATGATGTCCCTCTCCAAGGACCGGTCGGTCGCTCCTTACAACATGTCCAAAGTATGTTAGATGGAGCCTCAGAATCCTTGCCTTCAAGAAGCCGCCCTGTTTAACCCTCTCCAGGATGAACCTGTTTGTTTTCTTAGCAGTCCATGGTACAGTCAATAGTCTTTTCCAGCACCACAGCTCAAAGGCATCACTTTTCCTTCTATCCTAGTCATTGTCCAACTCTCTGATGCATAACAAGTTATTGCAAAGACCATGGCCTGTATCAGCCACACCTTAGTCTCCAGAGAGACATGAAACCAATTTTCACCGTTCTTGTACTTCCTCCAAGACAGACTTGTTTATTCTTTTGGTACCTCATGGGGTATTCAATACTCTTCTCCAATTCCACAATTCAAAGGCATCAGTAATTTTTCTGTCTTTATTAATTGTCCAACTCTCAGTTTTATAAGAAGCAATGGAGAATACTATGGCTTGTATCAGATATGCTTTAGCCTTCACACTAATATCCTTATTCTTAAGCAAGTTAAGTAGCAAATGTGTCCATATGTCTTTCTGTAGACTACATAGTTGAAGTTCCATTTGAAATTTAAATATCCACCTAAAAAACATAGAACTTTATATTCCCAGTAGTTAAGTAACAGAACACCATAATATGGAATTATAGCAGAAGTCTGAAAAATGGTAATTTATAATTCAGCTTTAAATGTTGTCTTTAGAGTAAAATCAGTAACTCATTTTAACTGCATTTGGCAAAAATTATAGTATTAAGATAATTTAAACTGTTTTACTAAGTCTAAGGGTAATAGTCATATTTTCGATTATTCAGTATGTCATCTTCTGTTCCAAATGTTAAATGGAGTTTTTTGTGTTTACCGAATAAACTGAAGATTTTTGTTAACTTTGAGATAGATTAATTTCTTGTGATTCAAAATATTGAGTGGCTAATTGAAACAGCATTTGGAAGTTGCCTTTTTAAAACACTAGTCACAGGAAAAATATATTTACATCTTGATCTTTCTTTGATAAATATAAATAAGACCTATCTGTGTTTGTCCATCTTTCTTAATCTACCCAGGATTTTTTTTTCTCACAAATATTTGTTCTCTCTATATCCCCTTCACCTTCACCTTCTCTTGTCTTCTTTTCCTCTTCTCTCCATCTTTGCTGTCTTTTGTTGCTGTTGTTCATTGCCTTCAAGTAGAGCACAACTCATAGCGACTCTATGAACAAAAGACCTGATGACTTTCTGTAACTATTGTCATTTCTCCAAGTTCATAGTTTCCATAGGCATGTGGTTTAGGAAATAGATGCCATTCCTACTACCAAACCTGTTTTATACTGGGAGCTCCACCAAACATTGTCCCTCTTACTTCTTAGAACTAAATAGGAAATTTTAAACCTTAAATAAAAAATGTCCCCTGAAGTCTTCATAATATCCAACAATAGGTTAAATTAATAAGTATTAATGTCTACCTTGAGCGTTGTGTTCTTTTAAAGTCCAGCTGTATAGAATCACAAATTATCTGAGAAGCTGGATTCTATGAAGAGGAATGTGGCATTAGGATTTTAGGGAGACTTATCAATAATCTGCATTATGCAGATGATACAACCTTGCTTGCTAAAATGATTACTTGAAGCACTTGTTGTAGAATATCAAGGAATGCAGCCTTCAGTATGGATTGTGTCTCAATATCAAGAAAACAAAGATTCTTACCACTAGACCAGTGGGCAGTTTCATGATGGATAGAGAGGATATTGAAACTGTCAACAGCTTCATCTTACTTGGATTCACAATTAACACCCTTGGTACGAACAATCAGGAAATAGGGAGAGCACTGGGAAAGTCTGCAGTTAGAGACCTTTCCAAATTACTAGCTATGCATCTGAGACCAGGACAATGAATAAGGATAAGAGAAAAATAATTGATGCCTTTGAGCTGTGGTTTTGTAAAAGAGCACTGAACATCCCGTGGACGGCCAAGAGAACAAACAGATATGTCACCAACCTTATCTCTAAGAAGCACTCTGAGGTGGGGCATAGGCATCATTTTTTGACTCCAGGATATTGCAAAGTGCAGTCAAAGTTGAGAACTGTAGATCTAAAATCTAGCTCTTATAGTGTCTATAAATGAAGGGACGCTATAACATTTTTTTTAAAAAGCCATGGTTACACTAATTTTGGTTGACTATAATTACAATTTTTCATTAAGTGAGAGTTCTTAGTTTGATAAAGCCATTATTGCTTATGAATAAGAGCCCTGGTGACCCAGAGTTTAAGCACTTGGCTGCTAATCAAAGGTCAGCAATTCAAATTCATTAACTGCTCTTATAAGAAAAACAAGGCAGTCTGCTTCTGTAAAGACTTACAGGTCTAGGGGTCCCATGAGGCAATTCTACATTGTCTTACAGTATCACTATGAATTAGAATCAACTTGACACCATTGGCTTTAAGCTCATCAGTAAGGGATAATGCTCTCAAGTTCATAGAACCAATACATGATTATAGGCAAATCTGAGCAAGATATAAGTACTATTTATTGACAGTCCTACATAATAAAAAGAAAGAAAACAAATAACAATTTTTAGAAGGGTTTCCTTCTCCAGTACCAGTCAGATCCGATTTGATGGTACGCACACACAAAAAAAATAATAAAATAAAATATTTTTTTTAAAAAAAAAGAAGAAGGGTTTCCTTATTTAAGTCTTTCAAGATAGAATTCTTTTCTACCTTGAAATTTTTTTCTGTTGAAACCATGTAGTTTCGTAATGAAAGATATCTGGAAGGAAGCAAAAAAAAAATTGACATAATATGTTTTTATACAAATGGGGTACACATATGTCCCAAAGGGTCTCTAGTGCTGGAATTGGCTGGATGAAGCTCATTTCTTCAGATTCAAAGTTAGGCCTACATCAGATGTCAGCACACACTAAAAGTGGGATAGCAGCTTCCCACTAAGCTCTAGAGGAGGAACATATAGGTGGGCTTTATATGTCCCATGGGGCACAAAAGAGTTATATCTTAGTCCAATCAAATATGTAGCCTTGAAAACTAAGGTGAACCTAATGTACGCTATAGTATTGTAAATCATCTCATCTGCATGTGATACCTGGAGAGTGATTAAGGAAGACTGAAGAAGAACTAATGCCTTTAAATAATGGTTTTTATGAAGAATATTAAACATACCATGGATTTCTAGAAGAACAAATATGTCTTGGGGGGAAAATACTGCTAGAAACTTTCTTAGATGTGTGGATGGCAATATTTATTCTCATGTACTTTGAACATGTTATCAATAAGGACCTGTCCTTGGAGAAAGACATCATGCTTGGTGTAAAAAAGGGCTTGAGAATAAAGAATACCCTCAACAAAAATAAATTGACTCCAATACTGCAACAGTAAGCTCAAATAGTATTGTGAAGATGGCCTTGGACCAGGAAGTGTTTTGTTCTAGTGTATGTGGGGATCAGTGTGATTTGGAACCACCTCAGCATCTCACCAAAATATCTTCAGGTTTGGGTTGTATGTAATAGTCAGTAGGAAAATCAAAGTTGGTTTGCTAAGGTAATTGTTGAATATACTTTTCCCACTGTTTTTCATTATTAAAATACTCAGTAGAAGACAGTGAGTTATTATTGTTGCTATACTAGTTTATTTACAAAGTTTGAACACATATTTTTTGTGCAACCCCATGATTAACCCCGCACCCACCCATCCTCACCCCTCTGCTTCCACTCTCCCTCCCTTGCATCCTCATACTCACTCTACAGTAATGGTCTTATACCATATTTGTCCTTATGGGACTGAGTTAGTTGACTCAGCATAATGCTCTCCAGTCCCTCCCAAGTCATGTAGTAATTTGCAGAATCATTGCTCCTGTGTGGTGTGTAGTATTCCATTGTGTGAATGTACCATAATTTCTCAATTCATTCCATTGTGGTTGGAGATTTGGGTTGTTTCATGTTCTTGCGATGGTGAATAACTCTGCTATGAATATTGGTGTATAAGTCTCTGTTTCTGCCTCAGTTTTCCAAGCAGTGGAATAGCTGGGTCACATGGAATTTCTGTGATCAGCCTTTTGAGGAAACACCAAACTGCCTTCCAGAGTGTTTGTACCAGTGAAATTATTTTAGTGAAAGAGTTTGTCTTGCTGGCCTAATCTATAGTTTTGTAGGTAGGTGGTTTTATGTTTCTTAGAATGGTTGCCTCCAACTACCATTTATATTGCTTTTGAAGCATTTAACTAAATCTGGCTATCCTTATTATCCCCTCACTAATAGAAATGTCTCCTTTTTATTTATAGCCTACCTTTCTTTGGACATGATTGATATGTGTACCTCATTGTTGCTAAGTGCTGTCGAGTCGTAGATGACTCATAGTGACCCTATGAACGAAAGACCTGAACACTTGTATAACTTACATTGTTTCTACAAGTTCATAGCGTTTTTGGAGCTTGTTTTAATCAGAGAGCTCCAACAAACACTGTCCACAATGAG